GTTGTTGGGGTAGATGTATGTACTAAAAGCTACGTGTTATCATTGAGGTGATATTATCGTTGAGGTGATAGGCCCGTGCGGAGCACGGGCAATTTCATTGAAATTCTGCTACAGCAGCCGTTGGGCCCGAGTAGAATATGCGCATTCAAGGTTGTAATCTTTGCAAACGGAGCATTTTGGTCGTAATCCATCACACTATTCAAACCACTTAGCAATTAGCACAGGTGATTAGGTAAGGCCAACGCCGGAAACCATGAAAATGTCCAGCACATGAGACCTGACATAAGGTAGCTTCACTTACACGTGATTTGCGCTGTCGACAGATTGTGCACGCAATTGTTGCCCTATTTCTCTTCGCCGGCCTTGTTGCAGCACTCTCATCGGCTCGTGTCGAGACATCGTTTGAGCGGTGACCACAGTTTAGATCCGGAGATGTCATTTTGGCATGTTGTCGGAATGTCTTTCCGGTCTGAAATTCTCAAAGCCGAAAAATACTGAAAGATGACTCTCAACCTATGAATGTGTTACAACAGCATATCGCGGAATTAAAGATCAAAAGTGCTCATTTGACCATATGAAAGATGAATGCCCCGCATCTGGTCCACGCAACAGTGCCGGCACGTCCGAGCTCTTCCGCTAATCCGTCGGACCAAAATTGCTTAACTCCCCGCGAACTACTACAAGCTGGAAATGGCCATGCAGGTCTAGTACTATTATGTGATAGTATGCCGTCGCTCAATCTTTAACTCCGAGTTGTTATGATATATGTACTATGAGGTTGAAATTGTTGGATTTCCTCCATAATGAAAGTATTTCATAAAGCTTGTAGGGCAGAGAAATTTACCGCGGTTCAACACAAAAGTTCTTCACTTTAAGTCCAGTTCTAAATATGTTGGTCCCATGGAATAGGTTAATCCGCTTCGTGGCCACGGATGGCCAAGTGCTAAGGGGCGAGCCGATTCTTCCCCATCCAGATTTTGATTTGGGTCAAACAGATGAAAAAACTAAGCTACAGGCAAGGGTGATCATTGGAAATGATATCTACGACACCACCGGAAAAACCAGAGTGCCTGATGAGGTTGTCACGGTACGAAAACTGCTAGGCCCTCTCGAGCGCAACGACGTCGATATTCTCCGCTGCGTTGGACTAAATTATGCAAAACATAGTAAGTGAAACCACAAATATACAGCCATCCTGCTACTAAATATTGTATACTCTACTAATCAGGAAATTTAGTCCATGAAGCGGGACGGAGTCCCCCACCATTTCCTTTCATCTTCTTCAAGCCCAATACATGCATCCATGATTTTGGCGCTGATGTTGTTATTCCAAAGATTGCATAGGACGATCAAGCTGACTATGAAGGCGAGCTGGTTCTGATTATTGGCAGAGATGCGAAAGATGTAAAGCTTGAGGATGCTTTGGATTACGTGGCTGCGTACACGGCTGGCAACGACATCTCCTCGCGCAAACTTCAGCGCGATCCAAAGCTGGCCGGGGGAGTGCCTCAGTGGGGTTTCTCCAAAGGCTTTGATACATTTGCTCCTCTAGGTCCTGCTCTAGTGAGACCTGACCTGATTGGAGATTACAGAGAATTGCTGTTGCAGACAATGATAGATGGAGATACTAGACAAAAGGAGTCTTTAAGTGATCTGCTATTTGACTGCAGTTATCTGATTCATTATCTATCTCAAGGCACAACCTTGCGAAAAGGTTCAGTAATCATGACGGGAACTCCGGGAGGTATGTTGTCAACTCTATGCTGAACGTTCCAAAAACTGAGATTGATTAGTCTTAGGTGTAGGTGCAAGTTTGAAACCTCCAAGGTATCTTGTTCCTGGCACGACCATGGAGGTCGTGATCAGTAAGATCGGAACCTTGAAGAATGGCGTAGAATTTGCATAGATGAGTAGTTCTAGCTTCAGTGATTTTTTTTTAATATTTCGGACTATAGAATTTTCTATACTGTGGGGAAGAGATATTTTGTTATTCATTCAGCTGATATATTAGTGAGACCTTGTTGCCATGCGGGTTTTCTACTTGGTCGCAGTCTCTCTTTCTATGGCTAGATCTCAAGCGGAACCCAATTATTATTTCACTACCTGGGTTTCTAATCAACTATATGCTAGGGCCTCGATATCCTCATCATTTGCCCGGTAAAAGCCTAACGACTTGACCATAGGCTGGTCATGGCATACATACAAATAGACAGTGCCCTGTTTACTTGCATGATGCTGATGCTCGTGCCACGCTGGAATGCAGAATGTATCACCTTGCTGCCAGGCGTATGCTTTCCCTGCTATCAAAGACCTTCCTCTGCCTTCAATTACATGTACCATGGCTGAAGAGGTTTCTTGAATCGATTTGGTTGACTTCCCAGCCGATATGCGGATAGCAGCTGCCCCCAACGTGCGGCTAACTACGTAGTAGGTTAGTAGTATTCTCTATACTTCGTTAGTCATGAAACGATTAAAACATACTTTCGGACCCATCAGACTTCAGATATCTCTCCATAGTGTGATCTTCGCTTTTGGCGTCTAGTCGGGCTTTCATGGGCTCCCATGGGAAGACAATTGGGGAAGTGCTGGAGTCGACATTTTTCGCCGGATACCGTGGGTTGGCATAGTGTTCCACGAAATGAACTGGATAATGGATAAAGTTTGGAAGGTCTAGACCATCTAGCCAAATCATTGGTCCAGAGCCGTCTTTGCCATGGTCATGCCAGTTCCAGGTAGGTGTCAGGATGACATCTCCGCGCCGCATCTGGATCCTCTGGCCGTGTACTGCAGTAAATCCACCCTCTCCTTCGATAATAAAGCGGCAGGCGAATGCAGTGTGTCGATGCGCTGGCGCTGTTTCATTTGGCATGACTAGTTGAAGACCACCATAAATCGTGTCAGTGGTGTAAGGAGCATCTATGAGTGGTTAGCGGCACACTCGCTCAATCAACGGGGAAACCCAGGCAGTACCTCTGGATGGATTTACAAGCATCAGCACTCTGCGTTCGGCATGCTTCTCGGTAATAAACTTTCCAGCTTGTAGAAGACTTGGGCGGATCTTCTCGTACTCCCACACGTGTGGTGTACACTTGGGATTAGGTAGAGGAGGGTTCAGGCGAGTCATCTGTGCCCATAGAGGCTTTGTATGCAAATCCTCGACTTTTCTAATCAACTCCTGAGTTACTGTATCGCACTCGATCGATTCTTTAACGCATTCTCGTTCGGCCATCATTATCTTGGTTGAGCTAATTGTGGACCTCAAAAGCGTTATGTAGTTGGATGTATGGAATTGAACTATAGACAAAGTATCATGTTATATCTTAAAAGTAGGCTTGGCCCAGATACCCCAGTTGTACTAGTACCGGAAACTCTCGGTAACAACTATTCCGGAATATCCGTGTCTACAGCCATTCATTAGAATAACCCCTTCCAACGTGCGCTATCTCAGGGTGATACGAATCCCATGCCAAAACTAACTCCCCAGTTGTCCTTGATGACCACAGGATTGTTGCGTCACCTGACGGAACGGATTTGCTTAACTCTCCGCTTCTAGTGCTTTACTTGCGCAACACCCGAGATCTGCGCTTCCCTTGATGTATAATGCGATAACCCCACGACTTGACGATAACAGCATAGGAACGCGGCTACTTCAATAGTACTCGCTCATAGGTAAGTAAAGCAGTATAGGATTGGCCCAGAAGCTCCCTCGGACGTGCTACGTAGCAGGAAAGCCTCAACCCGCAAAGACACAAGGGTCACAATTACACACGATTCGTGCTGAACCTATTTTACCCTTCGCTTCTATAAACTATTCCGAAGTTGTTATCTGCTAATATGTCATTGACAGCTCCTTGTTCTGTTGGTGATGTAACTAAGCTAGAACAAAGTGTGTGGTTTGTAGATTGATTAATGCCATCGTGCACGAATACACAGCCAAGCAGATCTTACAAAATTATAAGCATCGACTTAGTAGACCATCAAGCAGCCACTGAATCCGTAGTTGGAATCCTGACTATTACAAGTGATTGGACGTATTGGAATACCGGCGTGTCTTTCGATATCTTCCGTGACCCGCCTGCATTCCGAGAAGGAGGTGGTTCTCATTTACGAGAGCCATTTGATTTCTGCAAACCCGGGCATTGCGTATTATGGTACCTAACTGAACCTTTGAGCGCGTCACCTATACCCCGATTTCCTATTTCACGACCGCAATGGTAAACAAATCGCCCTGTTAGCTATAGACCTTAGCCATGACATATCAGAACGAAAAGAAATCTTAACGTAATCTATTCGTGTCTTGTGACTCTCCTCGCGATCTGCCAATTCATATCAACCAAATGACCTGTTCACTCATAATTTGGCTGCACGTGCAATCAATTCATGAACAGATTTGTTCCATGCTTCTTCCATGGCGCTCTCGGCGTCGTATCCATAAGCCCACCATCGGGTGACAGGATCACTCCATTGATTAGCGCTACTGGTAAATGGAAGACCCGCGACCTCGGCAGACATTGCGGAATCTCTTGCCGCCTGCTCCGGGCCATCAGGGAAGTGCCAAATGTACCCATTCACTGTGCTAGCGTTCTGCATGTCTCCACACCGCTTCATCCGTTCCTTTTCAAACGATTGCAGGGCGAACGGAAGTTGTTCGAGCGACGTGATCTTGTTAAGAACGACGGCGAGCGCGGCGCCGTCCTCCACGGCCATCGCCGCCCCTTGCGACATGTAAGGCAACATAGCATGGGCAGCATCGCCTATGATGATCAGCCTAGAAGAAGGCGAAGTCCACGTTTGGAGTAGGCGTCCAACTTTTAGAGGCCACTTGAGGCATTCGTCGATAAGAGAGATGATCTTTGTGAGCCTAATCACTATCGTGAGAAGCTATGACAGCCACATCGCTCCATTGTGTACTTACCTCGAATCCCATCCTTTGAATTCGTTCTGAACATCTTCCTTGACAAATCTTTTCGCCCAAGTCGCTGGATTTGAACGGTCGATGTGAGACAAGACCATGTTAAATGACTCTCCGCCCGCGATCGCATAGGTCATGACATGTCGGTCTTCGCCAATCCTGTCAGTCATGTGTTAGAAAGTTCAAGTTTTTGCCAAAAAGCCGCTTAGTGGTTGATTAGCGTTTGTTGCCATAAGATCCACGTACCAGATGTTCAAAGCTGGCTTTTCCAGTATACAAGCGACATCTGGATCTTCTTTAATTCTTTCGATAGGGACTGTAGCTCTATAGGCTGCGAAGCCATTAAAATCTGGCTCGTTATTAGTATCAGGAAACAGTGTTGCCCGTGCCGTTGAGTTGATTCCTGTTCAAGCAGTATTAGCACATGCAGCTTGTGTTGGGTCAACTCAATGCCATGAGTGATATTGACCTACCGTCCGCAGCTATGATCAGATCTCCACAGATCCTTTGCCCACTCTCTAGCACCACTGAGCCTTTTTTCTCTTCGTACTCCTTGACTCTGCACCCGAGTTTCACTGACACACCGAGCTCCAACGCCCGTTGGTACAGTGCCTCGTGGAAATGCGCGCGATGAACCACATAATATGGCACTTCGAAATCGTCTTGAAAAATCTGGCCCAGAGCTGTATATCCAATCGTTTTGCCGGTCTCCCACCGACGGAAATATATACCCTCAGGTTGGACTGCGTTCTTTTGCAGGTGCTGAAGTACATTCCAGCGCTGGAGGAGTCGTCCAGAGTTTGGAGGAATCTGAATCCCTGCGCCAACCTATAAGGGCGTGAGAAAGTGTGAATTTCTAAGAAAGAAGCATGTTTTCTCACCTCTCCGAGTTGGGAAGCCTGCTCCAATAGCTGCACTGAATGCCCTCGTCTGCTGAGAGCAACGGCAAGGGACAGTCCACACAGCCCTGCACCGACAATCACGACATCTAACTTGACCGGGGCTTGCTGAGGCAGTGTCTGAGCATTAATGATCTCGTCGGAAGCTGATTCTTCGGTGCCCACTCTCTTGAGGAACTGGAGAGACTCGGAAGGGTAGGTTGTTGGCAGATTTACTGTGTGGCGGCTTCTTGCAGTCTTCTTACCCTTTATGGACGTATGTAAATGGTCTGAACCACTGTCGGAACTTAGACTATTCACCTTTGGTGCATCCACAGTTGCGGCGGACATATTGTATAACATTGTTAGATGTTCTACTGGAGCGATAACCTTATAACACGACAAAAGGCGAGGTGGATGATTACTTGGTTTTAGACTTGGATATGTACGTTAGTCACTGGATGAACGATCATGAAGAATTACAAGACTAGGGTTAGAATTGAGGAATGGGCTTGACCGATGACCCCGCTCCGGCCGGGGAGATAATACTGTTATCGGCAGTTATCTTTTTACAGTGAGGCGTAATAGTTTAGCAAAGCGTAAGGTCTTTGGATCTGAGACTTGATGCGCTTATACGGGCTGTGGAGAACACTATAGTAATCATCAATCCATGTAAATCGATAGGTGGGATGCATTCGTGGCTGAACCTGTTTGGTGTATGTTTGGTGTAGGCATGATTTTATGGACGATGCTGAAAGCCCTATTATTACTAATCAGAGGACTAAAGTGGCCTTGCTTAGTGTGTATTGAACTCTTAACTCCCCGGTGCTTTGGCTTTCTACATCAAAGACCTTACGTATGCTACTACTACCCCGCATGCTCGGGAATGTAGAAAGCAATAGGGTACCCCACGTTCTGCGATCTCATGCAAGGCCGATTTAGGGGTGCTACAATTCCTCTCCAACAAGAGTAGCAAGTCTCTTTTGATCAGCTATTCGACTTCTTATTGTCATCTTTTGCCTGTGACCAGCCATCCGACATGGCCTCTTCACAGCTCGTTAGAGATGATATTGTTCAGACCATTGTCGCCCACCACCACGGACTGCCTCTGTTGCCACAACCAAGTAACGACGATAGAGATCCGTTGCGATGGCCACGCAAGTTGAAACTAGCGGCATTTGCTGCTACAGCTTTCTTCAACTTTACGGGAAACTTCGCAAGCTCTGGCCTTTCTGTCGCTATACCAGTACTTCAGGCACAATTTCAAAAGTCGCCTAATCAGATCAATAGCCTTCTTACTGTTAGTAAATCGAGCTGAGTACATGAACGTAGTCATGTAGGAATGCTTACGTGTCAAACAGTATAATTTCCTCCTTCTGGGTATTGGTAACCTTGTCTGGGTGCCGCTAGGTGTCAAGTATGGTAAACGGGCTTCACTACTCCTCGCGATGCTGATGCTCTTTGTTGTTCTCATTACAACAGCCAAGATGACAACTTACACCGGACTGTTGGCTGCAAGATGTTTGTCTGGCTTCGCCGCCGCCGCCGGTGAGGTAAACAGGCGCTCTCTCGTATGGAAATTATGAACACTGATCATCAAATAGAGTATCGTCCCTGGCATAGTCTCGGATATATTTTTTCTTCATGAACGCGCTGCCATGATGTCTGGGTAAGCTTGACCACCATTCCGTATCGCATCTGCCCTCATACTAAATAACCATATTGATAGGTACACGATTCTCGTGTCAATAGCGACAGCTGTAGGTCCGCTGGTTGCTGCATTCATTGTGCAGTATAGCCCTGGCAGTTGGGTTGACTACGTGTGGGTTTGTGCAGCCTTGGCCGGGGCGAATTTGGTGGCCATTTACCTTCTCTATCCTGAATCCAACTTCATCAGACCAGAGACGCCTTTTCATACTGTTCATCCCAATTCCCATCATAGAGGAGATCCGGAAGCAGAAAAGGCAACTACCGTCAGAATGGAAACCGTCAATCGACACTACATCAACATCGTCCCCAAGCCGTGGCTGAGCATATGGACCAGTATCGTCACAATCAATCATGACACAGGACTTTTCGCCGTAACCCTTCGTCCTTTGATGATGCTACTAAGCCCCAGCATTCTGTTTTCCGTATTTGTATATGGAACTTCTCTTGCGGCTCAGATTATTCTCATGTACGTTGCCATCCGAAGCCTACACCTACACTAATGTCCTAATGACAATCTAGTTTCGCTTTTCCAAGTTTCCTCCAATCCCCACCGTACCTGTTCTCGCCCATTGGAGTAGGTTTAATGGAGATCTCCGCAATCATCGGCTTCTTAATGGGCTGCTTCATGGGTGGATATGTTGCTGACCTGATCACCGCAGCTGTGATTCGACGGCAAGATGGAGCTGTGTATTCAGAGCAGCGCCTTATATCCCTTATGCCTGGTGGATTCATTGCACCAGCCGGATGCATTCTGATAGCCTTTGCATGCTCGGAAAAGCTGCACTGGGTTGCTATTGCTTTCGGCTTCGGAATGGGTATATGATTCTCTTGTTCTCCTATTAGCTATTTCTAACGTGACGACAGTATCGTTCGGGACCGTTTATGCGCCAAACATTGTGATCACCTATGTAGTAGAAAGTCACCACAAATTTGCTACTGAAAGCCTGGTGACGATTAATATTTTTAAGAACCTAGTTGCTTTCCTATTTTTGTTTACCGCCACTGACTGGATTGCTGCGCAGGGATGGGTGCAGGTCTACATGATCATGTTTATGTTGGTTTCAGTTGGTACCCTTTTGGCAATCCCGTTCTACCTCTTTGGTGCAAAATGGAGAGGGGAGTATAAGCACGGTGACATCAACGGCTAGTTTGAGCTAAAGAAGCTGAAAACCAAAATTGCTTGACAGGATGTTGGAGAAATTACCTGGAGGTTCGTGTAAATTATGTGCTGCAGTTCCCCCATAAATTATGGATCGAAGTCAAATGTGACCGCTTTTGTAGTCATTGAACCGAATGTCTCGCCGTGTACGCAATTGTGTTTTTCGGATAGTCAAGACATTTCACAGCCGATAATATAATCTTGTGATTCTAAAACCGAAGTTTCCATTTCCGTAGCATGGACATGCAGGTAGGGTTTCCGGCATCGGAGCTTAGCTTCCGTGATGATTTCCAATCCGACAGATTCGCCGCTAGTGGGCCGGGAGTTCCGGGGAGTTAGAACCGTCGGATTGCCACATAAACACATCTGATCCAGCGGCTGGACCAGCGCTTGATTCTGGTCCTGGGCATATTTAACCAGAGCCATCGCTGAATATTAGTATGAGGAATATAAGAACTACTCACGTCCTTCGTTGCGTATGTGAATCCAGTCTCGACCAACAATGTCAGATCAATTCCGAGCAAGTGAGGTTGGCAATATGTTCCCTCAGCAGCCCCAATTTTCGGGATTTATGAAGCCATGTCGATTCGAAGGAGAGATCCAGAATCTCGAGGTATGGGGCGAGATACCTTCTGACATAGATGGAACATTCTACCGGGTTATGCCAGACCCGCAATTCCCGCCCTTCGTCGAGAACGATCCGGTATGTGGATGTCACTACTGTCAGTTCGGTTGCTGCATCACCGCTAATTAGTCCACCTTAGTGGTTCAGCGGAGATGGCAATATCAGCGCTTTTCGGATCAAAGGCGGACATTGTCACTTTAAGCAGAGATATATAGTGACGGAAAAGTTTGCTAGGGAACGAGAGGCCCGACGTGCCTTAATTGGTAAACATGTTCCTTCTTCAATTTCGACAGGAAATGCTGACCTGTTCTCGTATTCTAGGGAAGTATCGTAACAAGTACACTGATGCCGTTGAATTCAAGGTGCGAAGCACTGCAAATACTAACGTTGTCTTCTTTAACGGCCGTCTCTTGGCATGCAAAGAAGATTCTCCTCCTTATTCACTGAATCCAGTGACGCTCGAGACTATTGGCTTAGAATCATTCGATGGGCAGTTGCCTTGCTTAACCTTCACTGCGCATCCGAAACTCGACGATGAGACTAACGAGCTAATATGCTTTGGGTACGAAGCGAAGGGCGACGGCACTCCCGACGTCTGCTATTTTACAATCGATGCCAGGGGCAAATTTACGCAAACAGTATGGCTTGTTGCTCCTGTGGTTGCTATGATACATGACTTTGCCTTTACGAAGAACTGGGTCTGATAGGTCCCCTTCTGCTGAGATCCTGAAGTGCTGACACAACGAAGGTATTGTTCCCAATCATTCCGCAGACCTGTGAGCTTGAACGCATGAAGCAAGGCGGCGAACATTGGCAGTGGGATCCGAATATCCCATTCTATCTAGGCGTCTTACCTCGCCATGGCGCGTTGGGATCTGATGTGAAGTGGTTTCGCGCTCCAAATGCCTTCCCCGGACATACTGTCAACGCATATGAGGACAGTTCTGGAAATATCGTTTTTGACCTTCCCTTGACCAACAAAAATGTCTTTTTCTGGTGGCCCGATGCCAGCGGCAACGCACCTCGGCCCGAGCAGATTGCCGCAGAACTCGTTCGTTTCACTTTTGACCCAAAGTCCACGGCCCTTGATCTACCGAAACCTGTGGTCATTAGTCACGAAGACTGTGAGTTTCCGCGTATCGATGATCGTTCCTTTGGTAAGATACATCGCCATGCCTTCATGGATATTATGGACCCGAGTCTGGGAACCGATTTCGCAACGATTGCGCCGGTAATGGGAGGGGGCTACCCACCATATAATTCCATTGGGCATCTTGACTACGATACAATGCGCATGGAAAAGTACTTCCCCGGCCGGACTCACCTCGTTCAAGAACCTGTTTTCATTGCGAGGCAAAGCGCAGGTGAGGGCGATGGCTGGATTCTAGCGCTAGTCAACAATTACTCGACTATGTCGAGCGAGCTACATATCGTGAACACTAGAAAGTTTGAAAAGGCACAAGCTATTATACATCTACCTTTTCGCTTGAGGGCTGGATTGCACGGCAATTGGGTCAATGGTCAAGATGTCCGATTTTCATAGTCAGCTCTGGTACCCTTCATGTTCAGCAAGATGGCTCAAAAGGCCAAGCACCGCAGTATGTGGTAATACAATCAATTTTATCCGCACTATCGTCTAAAAAGCCTTGAAGCTTGTTGGACATACTTTGCTTGTAATTTCCATTTGTATTGAGACAATGCGCCGCGGGGGTTTTCCACTCTTTGAAAACCCTCAACCTACAAGCGAGACCATCATGATGGAGGATGGTGTCAGCTAGCTAAAGACTGGGGATATTGCTTATTTCGACGAAGAAGCCATAGTATTCATTGTGGATAGACTCAAGGTGGGTCATGACGAAGACTAGACAACAGTCAGATGTGCTAATATCGTGTTGCAAGGAATTGACTAAGGTCAATAGCCTTCAGGTACCCCCAGTAGAATTAGAAGCAGTCATATTGTTAAACCCAGGACCTGCAGATGTTGCCTTCGTTGGAGCGAGGGTGTAAGTGCTGTTATATAAGTTTTAGATTATGTTGGTAATGTATACTGACATAGACATAGGGATGATATCAAATGCACTAGTGAATTTGTCGCCAAAAAGGATCATACTATTACTGAAAGAATACTTTATGAGGTTGTACAACAGGGATTTGCAAGACATAATGGGTTCCCGGGGGTGTAATAGTTGTGGCTGAGCTTCCTAAAACACCAAGTGGAAAGACAATGAAACGCTTGCTGACGAATTCGCCGATAGAAAGTAGCAATCTCTGATACCTGACTTGGAAACATATATTCTCATACCATGTTAAAGATTAGCTCGTGATGTAGCGACAGGCTTTTGAACGGTGGGTGGAGGCTGGGAGGGTATTTCGGCTCCAATCAGTACAGTCCCATCGCATCACCTGTTTTCCATTACAAAGCTCTATCATTTCTGATTCCGCTTCGAGGCTCTATTGCACAGCCTGTTCTTCAGATAGTTTGCTTGTATTCAAAGGTTTACCTGGTAAGCACAGTTTCTCTCTCTAATAAGTTTTAATCGAGCTCTTCTGATAGCTTCGTCTGTCACACCTTTGAGCCCTTCGCCACCACTATCTTATTCTCAGGTGGTGATTTGGGTTTCGGCTACATATACTACACAAACCGGCTCACGAGTAATGGATTCTCGGAGACGTCAAAAAGACAAGAACGGATCAGCGCGGGTTGGGATAGCCAAAAAAAGCGCGGAAAAATGTGGGCTAGAAATGCCCTCCTCTACCACCCATCACGACTGTAGAAACGTACAGCATTACCAACCTCTACATGTTGAGCCGATAAACAGGCGGATATGGTCGCTAGGGGTAAGGCGGATCAGCCAACAGCCTATACAAACTTGTGAAAGCGTATTGGTAGATATGTCAATGTCAATCCGCTACTAATTGCCTGTTATCTGATAACATTGTAAGTGTTCCATTCAAAAACTATAGTTGACTAATATGCATGATCAGTTGAACTGTCATTTGCTCATGAATAGCTCCTTTCATTCCGACTTTGTTCCCGACGAAAATATTGAACTTAGAAATTACACTCGCATTCTTTAGTTCATCTCAATACAGCGTGCCAGTCCAGTCATGCGCAGCTCCAGACGAGGTAGCAGCATTGATCGGACCAGCCAAAGGAACTCCAGAATTAGTGTAGATACCAAATGGGTCACCATTGTCCTTCTTGGGATCGTAGTTGCAGTTGCCATTCGATATGGGCAGGAGTTGCCAGTACAGATGAGGCAGACCAACAGAGTTCATGTTGGTCGCTTCCGAGACGAATGCTGACTTTTGATCATACTTTTGAGAGTCTATGCCCCATTCTTCAAGAAAGATCTTTTTTCCATTAGCTTGTTTGATCCAGTTGGGCATGTTGGCGCTCCATTGGCCAGGCACACTAGCGTAGCGGTGGATGGAGATGGCGTCGATGGCGTCACATTGGGTGACAGCAGGGAGAAAGGTGCATCCGTGCGAGATGTCACCGCCCAGGCCACCAGTAGAGACTAGGATACGGGTCTCAAGTCCTGCCTTGCGCATATGCCTAGCGCGGCCACACATCCAGCCGGTAGGATCACCATTTTGGCACTGGCTGGGTTCAGGGGTCATTGGTTCGTTCTGCAGTGCACAATTTATGTTAAGAAAACTAGACCTGATTGAATTCTGAAGACCGTTTTGTGAATATTCACCTGGATATTGAAGCTAAAGATGGCTTGAGGCCAGTTCTTCCAGACTTGTCCTGAGTATGCGCCCTTGTAGTTGAGAATGTACGACAGGCGAGAGTCGTATGCATCGAAGGCTTCCTGCTTTTGATAGAAATATCCAGCGCCCCAATGTGCCCAATATGCGTCCCTTGATGATGTTAGGAGTTTGCATACTTGGTTACTACGTCAATCAATAAACTTACTTCCTGTAGTCACCGATCAGGGAGTTCGAATCATGAGGGGAGATGATAGCTTTGATGTTCTTCCCAGACAACTTGACCAATAGCTTATCCAGCTCATCCAAAGTTTGCCTGTTGTATTGTCCAATAGTGGTTTCCAACTGTGGGATGTCCTTGACAAGCTGGCTTCCCTTGTTACAGCCCTTGGTAGCCTGGTTAACCCAGAGCCTGACAACCTTAATGTTGTAGGATGACAAAGTCTGAATATAGGTATCCTGAGCAGAGTCTGACATTGCCTGTAGGAAATAATTATTAGTGCCAGACCAGGAACTGGAATTGGCTTCCGCCGATTGATGGAGGGCGGCGAGGGCTAGCCATATCGTGGTGAAAAAACCCTTCATGGTTTCAATCGGTCCAAAGAGGCGATAATAGAGAATATTCTTTTAATGGTGATGTGGTCTGCTTCATCTAATAGGAGGGAATCGAGACTATATTTGTATTTAGCAACAAGGAACTTCATTTTACATGTGTTTTGCGTTTAGGATGTCACTCACACGAGATGAACAATCCACGTAATCGGACTATGCGAAATTAACACGAGACGGGATAGCCATCGGCTAACGACGTTCAAATTTAACCCCGACGATCATGAATCGGGAGTCACACATCTTAGTTAACCAGCTACCTGATACTATCTAAGTCCGAAAGATCTAATGCTTAGCATTTGGGCTTTGACACTAGACTAGACTAGATCTGGGCGCAGAGTAGGGGTTCCGTGAGGGGTACCGGTGTTTTGCCCGCTTTAGGTTCTTAGAAACGTTGGTAAACATGCATCAGAACTAAGCTAAGGCGTAAATTACATTCCGTCCTAGACAACTATTTTCCGTCTGTCTCCGTGTTCCGATTCCGATGCCCTAGTGCCTCGACACGAGTTCGCTAATTTTAGTTGTCACGTTGTGTTCCAGTTCGTCATAGTGGTATCTCGTCTCGAGAAATGCTCTATCACTACGTTATATATTGCTGCCCAATACTTGCATTTTTTATTTATGTCTACCATATCAGGCTACTTCGACTCCAATCTTTACTCTCCCAATATTCGCCAAGGACTGATCTTGGTTTTCTCTCCTACAGAAGTTATTTTATTCATGTATGACTTCATGTCATGGCGTTTTAACAAAGTTTGAGCAAGGATGAAGACACACTACCCCGGATTTTCCATACTCACAGCTTCCGCCAACGTAACTACTCACTTTAGCAAGTCAAAGTTGTACCCATCATTAGAAAGTTATTCCTGATATTGCCAACGATTAACGTCTTAATTGTATGTTGTAGTTTTACCGTAAAATTATAAGAATAAGAAGCGTGACACTTCTCCAGTATGCTGTCATGTCTTGATCTTACTCCATAGATCTGAGATGGTATTTATATTACTTATTCATGGCTTGGTACTCCATATGTTCTACGATACCCTATCTCTACTATATTCAACCTTACAATATACCTGTACAGTATGATATCTCGCAAGCCATCTTTAGTTATGCGTTACATCTTAACATCATGCACATAAATATTGAAAAAGATCTAACACGCGAAGTACCAGTCAGTTCAAACAAGAGGTTATAGTATTTGAAAGGCCTGGAATTCTTTGTACAGTAACATCTCAACTAGCTACGAATAATACCAAGTTGCTTAGACCAACACACTTATCAACTACGTCGCTGTATGCTGGAATGGATAATGACTATTTTAGTGCGCAGTCGACAGTAAAAATCCCTGCTTCTTGTGGCAAAATAATAATAGTGATTAACAGCTTTAACATGACACGCTATGTATGCAGGATGCAAATAGTCCCTTAGTGATAGTGATTCCCAACTATATACTTAGTAGTTTGACTTAGTTTATCAGTTCGAGCACTATACGCTGAAGTCGGCCGACTCGCTTGCTTCACAACTCGCTGACTGGCCGCTATGTTGAGCTATTCCCAATATAGCGCGGGTAACCAAGCTTCATCTATTATGAGGCTAGCGGATCGGTGTGAACGAGATGTTGTTATGCTGGACTAACTCTACTCGAAACGGTCTTCCCTTCTCCACCTATGCAACATCCATTTCAGGTGCTAGCCATGGATGTTATGTTCACTATATCATTGAGTTTCAACACAGTATAGAGAATACAGGTCTTGGTACTAGGAAATTGCAACGTCGAGGATAGAAGGTGTCAGATGCAACATTGGGGTACCAGAGATACAGAAACAAAGCGAATGGAGATAAGAAGGAAGAGTGAATGTCTCGCGGAAAGTGCAGTATGAAATCAACAGGATCTCTCGCGTAGTCAATATGCAACTTTTCAATCTATTGCTCCCGCTCGCTACGAGCGTTCTGCTCTCAGAAGCGCAGCCACTCAGTAATACCGCTGTCAGTTCGAGCTGTACTGGAGTCAGTTCATACTTGCTCGAAATATATCATAAGTATGAACCGGTTGAGACTATCTTTGCTCTTGTTTATTGTTCACAGAGATGATTGATTGACTGTACGGGGGGCGGTCAAAGATGCAAATCTCAAGACGCTTCGTATCTTTATGTCGTACAAAGTTTAGAAAAACAAGAACAATTGGTCAGTGGAGATGCCCGACGTCAAGCCGCGGCAGGTTGGCACATACCATGATACCCAGCCGCGCGCCATCGATCAACTAATGGTCGAAACACACGACTGAGACAATACCTGACTAAGTTTTGTGTAGCTCCCTTGACGTTGTTCGCAGGCGTCAAACTGGTTATTGCTCTGCATGGCCGCTATCAACTGGGTTGCTGAGGAAATGGCACATCCACCATGGGGTTGAACCAGAGCTACATACGATGCTAATCCATACCAAACGCAGATACATATGTATCAATACGCAAAATTCCTGCCATATATCGCGCAAAAACACCTGCTGCTCAGAACGATGCGACATTCTTCTATCTGGACGCATCGCCAATCTTCGACTTCAACAGCTGCCTGGCACGCATCCTCCAACACAAAAATCAGTTGATGTCCAGTGCCCCGCTGTGGAAAGACCTTTCAGATCATATATTTTTATTCAAAATTCAGAACGAAGGACAAGTACATTTTCGTAGCAATATCGCACCTGCACCAAGGTGGTGGTGTGACCAAAGCAGGAAGATGCGGAGCATCATGGGTGACATTGAAATTCTCATATTGACAGGCAAGTAGGACTCTAAATATGTGCTTATATTCTATGTGATTAGTATAGTCATGTTAATTATTATGTTTACAGGGGGCGGCAACGAATTTCCCAACTCTGACATACCTGAAGATTGGGCCTGCGACACGCTCGATCTTATCGACATCTACTCATACAGTAGAGTGTCTGATTTCCGCAACAGAGGGCCTATTGCGCTGCAGCGCGCTCAGGACGCCGATGAAATCGTACTCTTCGAAGAATTCGGCGCCACCGGTTCCAATAAATCGAGTGTCGTGGGCCAGCATATCGACGTCTTCAATAAGCTTAAGATACCATGGATGATTTGGCAGATCAACAAGCCGGCAAAAGGTGCGTCGGAATCTTGAGTTTTGGACAAATGAAGACACATACGCATTGGTGAAGCAAGGGGCGGCCAAAGCGTCGGACATTGCTGCTGCTCAACCATTTCCTACTCCCGATATTTGATTAGATAGGGACACATCAAATACCGGTTAGGGCACTCACATGTGACCTCTGTAATATAGTACAACTGCTCCATAGAATGAAAGCTGTGCTTTCTGTTTTTGGGTTGTCTGGCTCGAGTAAAACAGTAGATTACGCCACGACCCAATAGAATTCATGATGTGGGGAAATGATCCTACAGCATCGTTCAAACCGTCGGATCAACGATTTCTATGGCCTCCATGGCAATCTCATTGACTAACATGATGCATTTCAGAGACCCATTCATACCTTTGAATATAGCCTGCTTCACTAGGTGCTTCGCGACATGAGTATTTGTGATTATACGAGGAAAATAATTTATTCGATCAACAGTCTCGCTCCCCACGTTCAAACAATAACATCGATAAAGTGGCCAGCTTATATTAGGAGTTCAAAATCAAGTAGGACGTCAGCATGGCCAAGCTGTTCTCATCGACATTCGCTTGGGAAACGGCTCACGAACCTTTATCAGTGATTTCTTGCTTCGAATTTAACTACATCCCCCCGTCAAATCAGAGATTCCTAGTATGCCCACAAGGTCATCATCTGATATCAGCCAACTTGACTCCCAAGCCTCATGACATTTATTGCGAGCCAACAAGATGAATTGTATCAGGTCTTGCCCTTGCTTCAGTGCGGTTCGCCAGGGATACATCTTGGTGAATAAATCCATCGATCGAGTAATATAATCCTCTAACTCCTTTGCTTCAAAAGGGGAGATTGAAGTAGACAGGAGCCTGAGGAGCAAGACCAGGCAAGCTTGGAAGAGGAACCAAGATGCCTTCCACGACAGGAGCTGGTTTGGGTACCAGGTCTTTGCAATCGTATCTACTGTCTTTTTGGCGACACAGCAGCAGGTATTTGCAAAAGACGTCATTTCACTATCGACATTGCCAGCCTTTACGCACTGGACGAGCAAGGATGGTCTGTGGAGGAGCATACGCGTGTTCAAATATCGGTACTCGATGAGAAGAGCTGCCAAAGAAATATCCCCATTGGGTTCACAGTCTCCCCGGAATACAAGGCGATGATTTTCATGCCAGTTGAGAAGCTCGTTATCAAACTGTTTCAGAGTAGCAGGCGGAATCAGCGGGGTCTTAGCTATATGTCCCTGTATGCGCGCAGCGATAATGGAAAATGTTACGCTCGCGTTCATCGAGATAGCACCGTAATTCTAGGATCAGTTAGACTCAATCGAACTAGGAAACTCACACAAGACAGTGAATAAGCTGAGGCACTCACCAAGAACCCACGGCGTAATGCTGACGCTTCATTCAAGCCAGCCGTACCCGGAACATGACATGGCGGACGGCCAAGAGTAGTTCCAGACCAAGTATCGAGACAAAAAAGACACCACCAAGTCCTAGTGCGCACGCCAGCCATCCATTGATTATTAGCCGAAGTCATTCTATCCAACGGGGTCTCTCGATGCAACCCCATCGCCAGAGCCATACGATGAGCTGCACCCAGAACAGCATTTGCCATATTTGGCTTGTTCAGGAAATGCAAATACCAGCCACCGAAGAGGATCAGAGCCTGCAGCATATATAAATGACCCACACCAAAGCATGAAACGCCCATATGCTCTAAAGCGCGATGAGAGAAATATAAGTGCCCAGCTTTACGGTCATCGTTACAGGATATGTAGCCAAACGCAAGAACCATATTCAGCAATGCTAGCCATGGACCACGAGCAAGGTCTGTTCTGCCGCCGTGAGTATAGCACTGACGAAAGTCGGCCTCATCCACCATGGGAAGGACGGGATGGAGGAATTGAAAGTATGCGTCGATCAATGCGGTTTCATTCGTTACCTGCGGTCGACATGATGGCGGACATGAACCCTGTGAGAATAGTAGTGGTAGGTCAAGTAGTGGTGCGTTGGTCAGATCCTGATTGGCTGCCATCTTGGTCGTCTGTATCGCGTAACTAAGATGTGGTGAAGTGTAAGCCATTACATGGAGTATTGCTGGGACTGAAGATATTCCTAGATATGAGCGGCCACTGTCCGTATCAAAGAGAGCCGTAATTCCATTGACATCGTCGATCCCGGCTCCGCGTTGTTGATTTCCGTCATCAAAACGCTCGTCCCAGATAAATTCTCGGGTTCGCGAACCTTCAAAACTCAACAAAATCTCTGTCGCTGCCGGTTCTGAAATTTGGCCTGCTTCTGCTTGCGCAGATTCAGTGATAGGCTGAGGGGAGATAAGACTAATAAGTTCCTCGCGGGACAGTGTATCTAGATATTGGATACCTAGTCCGGGAAACAAGCGCTGAAGAATTCTGTGGACTGTATTATACGCGTCTGATAAATTTTCATAAGCTCTGCTTGCATCGGTCAGTGTCAAACCGTGACATATTCAGACATGAAACATTAATGAGAAGTCGACGGACGGACTTTACTGTCGTGACGCGACGGTACTGTCTCTGAGGATAGTGACAGCGCTCTGGGACCTGGTAATAGACACACTGGGCACAAGGGATTTGTTCGCCGTCGCATCGGATTCGTCGTCGTCGGCATTCAGCACACGATCGTGTTTTGCGAGCGGAAGCTGTTAGTGTTGGTTTCTCACTGTCGCTCATAGCACTTTTTCCAAGAGGTTTGGTACGTTCCTCTGCCATTGTATATTCTGCTCACGTGCTTTACGGAAAGTAGGGAGCTTGAGGGAGCCACATGCCGACAAGAATCCAATGAAGAAAGCCAAGACAAGTCTGCGCGTGTAGCAAGAGTAGTGCGTCGGAATTTGGGAGGCAGATAAGAGACAGATACGCAGCACGGGGTTTTGAATGTGCACCTTAGCTTCAGCACACAGCAGTCTAGTCGCACATCTGCCGGCGTCTCCGAGCGGCTGGGGTAGACGAAACACAAGTGTACCTAGCACGGAATTTCGTATTAACGCTCTAGCTGTGCCGAGTCGCATATCTATTATTAGCGCGTCAAGGGACGTAGGTTGAACTAAGCCACTCTTGATCAGTCTAGTCTGCACCATCTACCCTATACGCGCTTGATACGTGCTTCTTTGCACTGATTCTCTCTCCAAGAGCCATAAGGTCTTCAAGTCGTGAGAGGCACGAATGACATGCATCGTCACGAATTGTCCACCTGTTACAAACGATAAGAAAGACTTTTTCATTAACAGGGTGAGAAGGATTGAGTATTGACTAGCAATGGCGTTACTAGACCCAGCGATGGCGTTAGAGGGTGAGCATCATTGCGGGGAAAGATCACGTGCTAGGCACCCCGCCAAGAATGGTTGCTCCGGCCGAGAGATGACCATTACAAATGTTCATGACATCTCAAAACCATTATGGATGGACGGAACGGTCTAGCTAAAACAATGAATATAAAATTGAGGTAGATCCCACCAATAATTCGTTATAGTTAACTATTATAAGTTAACCTGTGTTGTGCTAGAATCTATTTAACTTGAGAGCGTGTTCCCTCCAATCTCCGTTTTCTAGCTGCTAAACCTAGTTAGGTGGTCATCTGAATTCTGCTTCAAAAACGGAATCGGAAACGTTTTAGTGTTCAAACAACGTCCGTTTTCCGGTCACAAAACATAGCTTAGTTTGTTGGCGTTCTACTAGTAAAAGAGCGCTATCTCGTGTTTAGTCAACATATATCTCCTCCTCTCGAAGCGATACGGATGTCCATGCCCTAGCTAGAAATCCTAGACCTTAAACCAATTTTAAGACGTATACACCTTGTCATTACCTAGATAGTGCAAGATGTAACCCCCGTCATCTCATTCTAAGATACCTCGAAGGCCATTAATCATTCTTCAGCCACATAAGCATTGTGATTTCTGGGTTTAGCCCATGTTCAGTGTCTAAAAATGCTTCCCTTTTGTGCAGATGCCCCACATATGACCCATTTGAACTTAACAGAAGTATACGTTTTCGGTAAATCGTTCGTGTGTAAGATGGGAGTGTGATAATCTCGAATTCTAAATCGTATACCAGGGGGGGGGGATTTATAGTGCTTACGGCACGTATACAACATTTTGAGAAATTCTAGTAGAAGCCCTTACAAGGCTACGAAACTACGACTAAAATACCAGGCCTAAGTATAAGCATCATCTACTCTCCCCTTTTTATATCCTTAACTAATTACTCGGACATCCCCCATACGGATTTGCTTTCCTATGAGTGAAAATGCCTCCTAAAACTACGCTGCTCTTTGTACTTTTGGGGATATTCTCTGCATTTGTTAGCGCCAAAGCGACAGAATATAAGAAGGAAGGGACGAAGCAAGATGACAAACTACTGGACCTATCGTATGTTGGATATCACCAATCTGAAACACCGCTTCCGAGACAAGATCAACCCGTAGCTGATACCCTTCGCGCGAAAACGGGAGACCAAACACGATACATCCAGTCTGCACTAGATCACATATCCCAATCACGTGGTTGAGTTCTTGCTCTCGAAGCTGGTACTTCTCTACTGACTACCAGCTTAGCGATACCTAAACAGACAACATTACGAGGTCCAGCCGTTAGAAAAACCATACCGACTCGAAAATGTTTAGGGACTGGTTTTTTCAAAGTGGGGATTAAGAGAGGAAAGGGGGGAAGACACACCGGCTTAAAGGTTACCGACAAATACGTACCTGCTGAGACAAACATGGTACGCGTACCTGACGCAAATGAACTGGCAACTGGTATACATGTGTTCGTGAAGTGGAGCATGATAAAGTGTTGGATTAATGACGTGACAATGACTGCTCATACAAATGCACAGGGGTACCCATGGGACTTGACATGGCTGAAGGTATGCTGGTTGCTCCTGCAGCAAACACTTCTTGTTTGACCCAATTCACATAGCTTGGTCAACTTGCTCGATAGCCTTGAGGAATCCATGCCGTTCATGGCACTGAAATCGTTCTCGATGTGCCTTCAATCGATTGTATTTATGCATCGAACGGTACCCTGATCCCGATTCAGTTCACACTCTATGAACCATCTGTGTTTGATTCAGAGATTGGCATTGAGACTCTAAGCATGGCCATCAAGCCAGGCAGATATGCCTCAGCGTGAACCACATCTTTGTAGACCCAGAGGTGGAGGAGCTCTTTCTGAAGAGACTCTTTGACCATTTCTCCTACTTTATACGCGGGTAATGGAGGAACCACATGTGCTGCATTATCAACGAGCGAAACATTGAGCGCTTGCAAGGACTGCTGGAGCGTACCCATGTAACCGTGATTTGCGGTAGGGAGACAGATGCAAAGACAGGTTTCTTCCACCACTGTTGTTCGAGACTTACAGCTGGACTACCCATTACTTTTGTAAGAGCTATTAGGACCCGTCCTACCAGTGGTTTCAGCAACGCGGGAACTGACGGTGCGCACCATCAACGGAATGGTGACTCCCCAAGCACTCTATCTTTTTCCTCGGAACAACGGGGTAGTAAAGGGGAAAATGAACCAGAGTTTGTCTGAGGACGTGACGGTTCACAACTTCTTCTTCCACGCTGCAATTAGAGATGCACCGTTCTGAGGCGTGTGCGAGTCTGAGTACGGTGCATGCCATGGGCTGCACGGAGTGGACTGCTTCTAACACAAGAGCGCGGTCATGAAGCCACCCCAGTGAACGGAAAAGCTCATAGATCCCGCCTACGCAACCTACAGCGTAGATGATGTGAGCAAGTTGGGGCCTTCAAGACTATTCTTGGGTTCAAAAGGGGAGAAATGATTGATGACCTAAAGACTGGGGGTTTTAGCACTTGCCTATTTGAGTTAGGTTTCACCGCTGTCATTGTTGTCGCCGTGTTCAAGACCAGTATCTCATAGTCCAAGGGAACGCTACATCAATATTCCGAAGAGTCCTTCTGGTTTTGGTACGAAATGTCTACCGATAAACCTCATACAATGTAACTGATTAAAGGCTGTCAAGCCTTATCTGTCGCAGCATCGATATCTTCACATCTTCACAATTTCAACATTCAGGCCTCCTAGCCACAACGGCGCACTCACCTCATTACCCCATGTGCCAAAGTCGTACATTAGGTCGACCCTTTCATACGGGAACTGCAGCCCGGGTTTAGGAAAAAGAAAGGTCGCACGTCCGGCCTTGGCTTTCATACCTCGAAAAATCATGGTTTGAAGGTTACGGGACCATCCAGCCTTTGGATAAGAGGCGGCATGTTAAGAAACACGCGTTGCATATCGTCACTGTGCGGGGACATGGGCTCGTTGTAGCGTGCCAATAGGTCCTGCTACACAGCTGGGATGTTCACAAACCGACTCAGCGAGCCAGGCTAAGTAGTAGCTCAGAATGATCTATTCCGTGCAAGAATCTAAATCAGTATTGTCATGTTTCATCAGCTAAATAGACTCACATCAACCAACGCAATAGAAACCTCCGGTCTCGGCGCGACGAATGAGAGCATATAGCGCGACAACAAATCCCGTGGTACCTGTGCAAAAGTTAGCGTTGGAAAACAAAGATGTGGCGGGCTCGTCTGAGCCCATGACTTGGCCGAAGCCCATGGAAATACTGCAGCAAGCATCGCTAATTTGCTGCCACCTTCTACGGCATTCCTCCCATAGCGATTCTCTCTCACGTGGATGATCCCCCTTCCCCTACCATGCCTGCGAATCTCCTCAAACATGGCGTTGCGTCCAAAGCCATGCTGCTCCATGACGCCGAGACGATACCCATCTACCACCACATAAGCATCTTGAATGAGAATCTTCAGCCTCTCTCTATGGTCACGTTTAAGGTGAAGATGGCAATTCCACTTTCCCCAGTTGAGGCCATGATGTGCGGCTGAAAAACCCGTGATTTTCTGACAAGTAACACGGATAGCCGACCCGCCGAGTTCCGCAAGGGATCGATTGATTGATAGGCCGACGATGACGCGGGAGAAGACCGTGGCTTTGAGGCCGGCGGGTAGCCTCTCGGCTGACGACGGTTTTGAAGCGTCTCCGGGCTACCAAGATCCAGCGAGGTCGTTGGGCTCACCCAGGTCGGCTCGCGGATGAACATCGACAGATGAGCTGCCTGTCTTGAAGTCCCGAGCTAGCGCATCTTCGTCTTCTTACATGTACATACTTTGGAATTGTTCTACATGCGATGTCTAGTTGGCGAAGCGAAGCAGAGAACTCTCTTGTCAACGCCATACTAGCCTGATGATGGAAGTGCGCTACATCTTTGCCGCAGAATTATGCGCTGCAGTAACAAACTGATAGAACTTGCTAGCTTTGGTTGCATGAGATGGGTGTTGAACCAAAGTCTAGGCCATGTAGCATACATGAAGCTGTGCAGCGCGATTGGTATCGTAGAGGACGATTTTTCGCGCTGCCTGCCAAGTAAAAGCCCAGTGAGACCACTGGTCACGAACTGAGAGTGGAACATAACGGCCAACATCATACTGGTGTGACCGTTGGTCGCATTCAATATCTCATCCAAACAAATAGACAGAAACACATGGAAAGACCAGCTCGCCATACAGACTTTGCAGGAATGTGATCGAAGCTTTCCTGGCCACGCCTCGTTCGTCAAATACAAATCCCCACTGGGCGCTGACATCTCTTGGTGGCATTCCTGGGAAAGAATTGGGATTGCCATCATTTGGGAGGGGAACAAGGTTTCCGTCAATAATACTGCAACAAAGCACTAATACTAGCCAACTTTACCTGTGTATCAAATGAGAAATGTGGTCGAAGTGATCACTACGAGAGGTATCCCGCTGAACTTCCGACCAACGAAATTCTGCAAACAGCGATGAGGAACCGTGCCATCATCGATATGGACAAGTCCAGCATCGAGAAGGCACTTCATCGAATGCAATCTATATACAAAGTGCAGTACAAAACCTTCATCGCCAATGTCACGATTCAGGTGGCTGAAAGGCACCTTATTCAAGGTCGCGGGAAATTGTTTTTTACTGCTTGAGATTGTCAAGACGGATCGAGGGGTAGAGGTTGCCGCCTCGGAACAATGGTCGACGCAGAAAGCATGACTTTACGATCGGGCCGTGTTCAGATGTTAGGAGAAGGCCGTCAAATTTTCTATCAACTAATTTGTTCACCGTGGGCATACTCTTTTGAGTCATTGTAGCCTAATTGACTATTTGACAGGGCTGATTCTAGTATAGTAGTGAGGCGGATAAAATCTAGTCATGTTTTGTAGCTACAAACCCTCCATTATCCGAAGATCACGGTATTCCCGGGTCTGCTTTTCAAACGGAATTTACTAGTTTAGGTTAGCTGCTAGAAATCAAAGACGGAGATTAACAGACCCGAGGATGGTTAGGCAAGCTTCCTCATATTCTAAGCTAGAGAAATGCAGGGAGTATAACGTTATACCGTAAGTAGCAATACAGTGCGCCCATATATAGGCTATACACATCTTTCAGTCAGTCCTCGTGACGCAGCGCGCGGTAGCGACTGAAACCGCCGACACGGTCACGGTGGCAGCTAACGCCATTCGCCTCTTTGAGGCATGTGTTAGTACGTTGTGAGACCAGGGGCCTGCAAATTCCCCTGAGTCGGCCTCGTCCGCGACTCAAGTTCTGATGATGGCTGTCACCGAGGTCCCCTCATGCTCTCGCTCTTTTCTGTCCCGAATAATCTTTTGCGCGCCGTTTAACTGATGGACGATACTGTACCTGGGACGGGGCATCCCGGCGAAGCATATTGGAGAAGACTGGCCGGGAAACCGTGCACGAAACAGAGAGGCTTGGCTATCCATGCATGGGTGATCCCAGCTTCTTTGGTAGTACTATCCAATCATCCAATCACATCACCATGTGCACGTTGGTTCAAGAACACCAAACTCCTTGGGAGCACGACGGATGGTGGGGCAGTTTCTATATTGAGACTGTCGCCGTTTTATATGCTGCTACCACGCGACACCGGACCAGATCCGCGCCATCGCACAGTTTCCTTTACAAAATACAACGAATAGCAATTGCCAAGTCTATACAATAGCCCCCTAGTAGCTGTCACCAAGTCTCTACCATAATCCTCTGATAGCCGTCCATCCATCGAAAGCCGTGGCCGACTCAAGCCGACGACTATTTACTGCTTGTAGCAAGAGGTACGGAACTGAGCGTTCCAGCCACTGACAGTACTGTACTTTCCATTGGCGTTGCAGGCAGTGCCGACCTCAAGAGGATTGTGAGGATTAGTCGCACCATCGGCGCGGTGGGCGTTAGTGCACCAGCGCTGGCAGTCGAGGTTGCCAATCGAGGGATCCTAATCCTCAATTAGCATTCTACATGTATATTTCACCCTGCTTCGTTCCGGAGGGATTGCTCACCGAGTAGACGCAGCAGTGCGAGCCATCTTGGAAGAGGCACTGGCAGAACTGAGCAGCCTGGGTAGTGATGGCGCTGGCGATCAGCAGAGTGGCGAGAGAGAAGATGCGGACCATTTTGGCGGTGGTGGCAAGTCTTGAGTAGGTAGTAGAAGATTGTAGAGTTGAATGTGGTCAGGTAAGAGAGTCCCGGTGCTGTACAGTGAGCTGGATGTCGTTACAAAGAGCGAGTGATGCTCTGATATTTATACGTGTGTAGATGACGCAGTGTGCCATCAACTTTCTATAACCCATCTAGCCTGGCTAGAGGTAGAAGAGAGTGGTTGAATGGCATGACTTACAACCCCCCTCCCTGTCAACGGTCTTTAGCGCCTGCTCCTTGCAAGTGTCACGCACACCGCTTTCATTTAGAAAGTCCGTCCCTGTGATTCTAGAAAACCGTTAGCCTTGATAGCCAGCATGGAACAAGAGCCTAAACAAGCTAGGCGCGCCACCACCCCCTCTAGCAAGACTGCCTCAATTAAATCTCCGAAAAGTATGATCGATACAGGCTAGTAACGTAGAATCATCGGGTAGATGTACACAGTAAAGAAGATAGACCAAAGTATAATGAAAATAACACAAATCTACTTTTCTTCCATGCAGTAGTGTGAACTTTATCGTTTCCATATGAAATTCAATCGGAGAAGAGAAACTTCGAACAAAAGTCCTTTGAGATCGGGTGCATACTAAGAGATGCCAATGAGCACCTACAGATTCTGACAGTGGCTATGCATGTCTGCCACCTGTTAAATTCAAGGAGCCGTCACAGATGTCTGGCCAAGTAGTGTTTCGATTGCTTTGGATTATGTAGTTGAGTCAGCCTAGCTCCGTACTGTCACTTTAGATCAACGGGTATCTGCATGTGTCTATGTGTTTTACGGATATCCCCTCATTAGCAATCATGAAATGCTAGAGGCACAGGCAAAGGTATTGTGGGTAGAGAACTATAGCACGTCGATGACAAGGGATCGCGAAGAAGCCAACACAGAGGGAGTAAGGAATAGGAGGGAGCGCCCTTCTTTTCCAGCCGCTATTCGAGATATCGCTAGTCAAATGACCAACACCCTCACATATGATATTTTTGCCTGAATCCATCGAAGATCCTGTTTGACAATCTCCTTCTTATTCGGTCCATTCCTCGGTCTAATAATCCATGCGCTGTTTTGAGTAGCTCGGGTTCAGTTGAAGTTTATGGCATGAAGACACGCGTAGGAATGTGCTTCGTACCATTGTTACAGCGATTCATGTCCATGTTGGCTTGTGCACCACCTCGCCGATGGGATCGGCGCTACGACCTCTCTTCTATTCAGCTAACTCAAAGATTTCATTTGCAATTCATGGACAGGCATGAGCTTGCCTTCTATATAACGCTACGTAAATCCACTTCCAACCAAATACACGAATACAGTACCTTCATCACTCTCGTTAAAATTTCATCTCAGTAACTACAAGTTTTACAAACCTCCTAATCCCACTCAACGACTCATCAATCTCCAACTACAACAAAATGGTCCGACTATCAATCTTCGCTGTTATCTTCGCCGCCGTTACTTCTGTCGCCGCCGACGGATTCTGTCAATGCCTCTTCCCGGACGGCTCCCACTGCTGCGTTGTTGTAAGTCGATGATAGCCCGAGCAAAACTAAATAGGACATGCAAGGGACCGAATCTAATAATGTGCTAGGAATACGGCATCAGGAAAGCATGCGTGGAGCTTTGCAAAGATAATGGAAACTCGGACAAGATGTGTAATGCTGGCGGCAAGTACTCGGACGTCAGCACGTGGAACGGAATGTGGCGCCGCAGCTGCAAGTACTCGTACCTCTAGGTACTACAAAGAATGCCGCTAGGGGTGCCTTGCGCAGCTCCGCCCAAGCAACTCATGTCCTTGCACTATGGCGAACAAGATTTCTTTCTCTTAATTTTTCTCGGTCCTCAGGATCCTTGGGATCTTGCTGGGAAATTCGCATGTACATAGATCACGTATCCACAGACTGGTAGATACACGAAATAGAGGCATGGCAGTCAATGAAGCCATCTTACATACCTTACTCTCCAACTCGAACCATGAACTAGCCCTGCATAAATAGTGATATCGAGGGCCCGCAAAGAATGGATGTAGATGTACAAGTAGCTGTACTGTGTCCTGGCTTGATACTGAAAATCTCCTTCACTTGTATTACTCAAAGCAAACATGCCGCCGGTGTAACTTGAAGTACGTGCGTGTTGAAATCGCCTAGGCCGTCATTTTCCGTGCGAGAAACAACTCAAATCTGCCTTGTCTGTAAACTTGATGAATATATTGAACCTTGCAAATGACTCCAGAGTCTTTTGTTTCCCTCGATCTTGACCTCCCTCGCCCTATCATATTCGTCGCAATAGTCTAATTACTTGGTGCTTTCCTCGTTTGCGCACTGTCAAGGAGTGGGTGTAGGCTACGCTGCCCCCAGTACTCTCGTGGCGCTCATGCAGGAAGGTTGCATCGTAGCCTCACTTTTGCTACAAGAACGGTCACCGTCTTAAACTATCACTATTCAGGACCACTCTAGCGGTACTCAGTAGTGGCCGCCTGACCGCACTAGTCCCCGCCACCGCTGGGGTAAGTAGTGGCGTCACCGTGCGCTCCTTACCTTAATAGTGTGTGGTTGATACCACAGTACCTAGTGGCTTAGAGATGACTCTTCCATACAGGCCATGCATGTGCACTTAGATTGCGTGGCGCACTGCCTAAAATTTGCGTCCTGCGAGCACGGATACATGCAGCATAGAAGATATCCAGAGCTATTTGTGCCACTAGTGTTCTCGCCGTTTCATTCTATCTAAGTTCCTGGGAGCTTAACTTTAATTGACCCTAGTCGAGAGTGTGGCTGATTCAAACTCCACTCTGAACCCTTGTCAAGTATACCTGACCTATTTGCTATCTTCATCTAAACTGATTCGTGTCGATATTTTCGTCATTACAGACGTTGACCGAAACTCTGCCGTGAAAATTCGACGACCGCCTTGTCGAATTAGGACAGCAAGGAGCTTTTCCAAATAAACACAAGCGCATTGTTACGGACTCCGTGAGCCTCATCACAGAGATTCAATGTGACTTGCGCACGTTCCCCCCCCATAGAATGCTTCGTGAATTCGCGCAGATATGTCTTTTGACTCGTGTTGTATGGTCTTTCAATCTGCCAGGCTTTATAAAGATGGTGATGTCTTTAACTGCTCTACGAAAACATCCACTCATCAGCCACCATCTCATCACTTATCATCACACAATCCCACAATCTAATTCAACAGCATAGTCCTCATCAACGTTCAACATGGTCCGTCTTCTCACAATTGTTGCCGTTCTCTTTGCTGGCGCAAGCAGTGTTGCTGCTTCGTACTGCCAATGCCTCTACCCAGACGGCAGCCACTGCTGCGTTATCGTAAGTCATCATGCATTACTTCACACTCACGCTTGCCTTGCTGACCATGGTTGTGTTTCTAGGACAACGAAGCCAATGATTGCACGAGAATGTGCATGAGGGCGTCTCAGGACCATACAACCGCCGGAGAGTGCAAGGCCAACGGCAAATTCTCCAATGTCAGCAGCTGGAACGCTCAGCACCGCACGCAGTGCGAGCCACCCTTCATTTACTAAATTCCGCACCGTGTTCGCGCCATGGGCAAAGATGCTGCGAAAGCGTCTTCTATGTGTAGATTCATTGCAGGAAGACGTGCAACAGACCTTTGCAGGTCATCAGGGGAATGTCGACAATCGCTACTTTGTAGAGGTTTTGCTCGGTATGTTACAAGAGCATGTTGTGATGGAACAGCTCATGATTAGGATACGGATATTTATTGGGAATTCTTTGTAGAGCAGATAGACTACCTTCTTCATTTGATACAATACAGTAATTGGACTTCAGCTATGTCGTACCAGCTCAATTGCGGGACGCATCTTGATCTGTTCAGTCCGGTGTTGCATCCTAATACCATATACGCAGTCTTATAGTCCTTTGATGATCATTAACTCATGCATAAGACCGACGATACTCTAAGCATGCACCTCGGTTAAGATCGCCTAACCAACACATCACAATGGCGACAGGCATTTCCTGCCGAACAATCCAGAGTACACTCACTTTATAGAACTGCGAACAGGTTTTTCTTTGGCACTTTAGAGTTACTATGATGCAGAACCACATCCATGCCTGCTTCAAAGGATGTGAGCCTAGGAGCACTGTATCATTGAGCGAAACCAGAGACTTTATCTGTAAGTCGGTGGCCAGTCTCCGAGTTCCCAGAAAACAGGCAGAAATGGGGATGGGTTGGGAGGGTTGAGGACCGTATTACAGAGAGCGCACAGTCGAGTGGGAGCGCGCTCGCTTGGTGCACGCTTGATGCACATGACCCTCCCTCCTTGCAAAACTCCCCAAACGACAGCATAAGTAGTACTAGTACTTAAGTCCCCGGTCCCAAAGACATAGTACAGGTAATAACGCGGAACCATACAATATTCACAAGACACGTGCGCGCAGGCTTCGGCCAAGCATGTACCGAGCAACCGTCGCATGTCATGTTTCTTGGTCTACCGTGTTCTTTTAATCTATTGCGTTGGTGGTCGCGTCGCGTGCACCCTTGCCGGTTAATATGGAAAGCGGCTTGGTGAGGCGGAATAGCCCAACGTCATGGGGACACTTTTGTTCGGTCTTAATTGTGGGCGGGAAGAGGACAGAATGGCAATAACTCGCAAGACGTATGGATTCTTACCGTATAAGATGGTGCGGGTTTGGAGAGTCACTCTGGACAAGTAAACACTTTTCAACGTCTCTTTTTTTGGATTTTATTTTAGAGTTTGATTTCGCGGAAGCAGTCCATCGTTGACGTCGGGTAAGTATCTGTACACTTTGCTTGCTCAGAAAAGCACAAGCAGAGAACAGCCACACGTCAAGTCTATCAAAAGGATCAAACGACAGAAAAAATGCGCTTCTTCCTCCTCCCCCTCCCCCTCCTCTCTCCTCTGCTCCTCTCCACCTCCGCGTCCGCCTCTTCAGACTCCACCCCACCCGCCGACGAGCCCACCCCCGTCGGCGCTCTCTGGACCGCCAAATGGAACGACACGACCCTCGCCCCTTACACCCAACACTGCCGCTCGCAATCCAGCTACACTGCGAAAATCTACAAACTCAACGAACTCTACCCAGATCTCGCCGAGCAAGCCCCCCAACTCAAAGTCTTCTACAACAAGCAACTCTACGCGGGCTCCTGGGACGGCATCGACGTCCACGGCGTCGGCCGCGAGCTCATCGCCATGCACATGACCGATGTACCCTACAAAGTGCGCGAGTGGCTGAAGAAAGAAAGTCTGCAGCGCCACTTTAGTGTGCAGGATGACTTGGTGTTTTTTGCCCCAGGCGCCATTTATCCTTTGCTTCCGCTGTGGGTGGACGATGCCGAAGAGGAGCAAGGCAAGGAATGCGAGGGCGTCTTTGAGGGCCTGGAGAGGTACAGCAATGAGCCGGGGGATGGCAAGGTGATTGGCAAGGTTGGGCATGAGAGCTTGGGGGATAAGGAGGTTAGGTTTACGGTTGAAGCCATGATGGTGAGGACGAGGGAGGCAAGGGATGAGTTGTAAATGAGGTTTGGTTTGCTATGGCAAGAAGTTACGCTTTTCATTATTTTTCGTAATTGTATGGAAACATGGAGTTTGGGCGGTTATTTGGTAAGGATATGATGGGTTGAACAATGTTAGCAGTGCCGCATCTTGTAGTCAAGAAAAAGGAAGAGGCCAATGTCAAACTGCTTCGTCACGACTGCCGTCACGTCTTGCCTGCTCCTTCTCAACAGCCGCAATCTCCCTTTGATGCCTCCTCCGCACAATGCCCAGCATGATGGTGTTGTAGACCAAGAACAGCGCAGCAGCAACGACACTACATGCCGCCGTGACCACAATTGTCACACGAGCAGTAACACTGTACTGCCCATCTTGCGCAGAATACACATTTACAATCGTAGATATGAGACCCGCAATGCTATTAAGCAGCGCAGGCAGGAAAATCCTATGAATAACCCACACATAGTTCTTGCGATGTTGCCACCATAGCCACAGACACCCTACGACTCCAATGCCACATGCAAAGGCCGCGACGTACAGCAGAGGAATGTTGCGCACTGTTCTCAGAGCCGCGGCGCCGAACCCGTTGTCCCCAGGCTTTGAGTCGGCGCGCTGGAGTTTGGTAAAGGTCGCGGGGAAGACAATGTAGCCGGCTAGTAGGAGCCAGACGAACCCTGAACAGAGCAGGTTGTGCAGTGGGGAGACGGAGTCGAGGCCGAGGAGCATGTCGATGTAGCGTGTGCGTGCCGTGGTGCGGCGGCGCTCAAGACCCGGTCTTTGAGGGCGTGGATTGATTGGTACTGAGTCTGCAGTTTGCCCATGTTGGCGCAGTGGCCGCGCTGGGTGGGCTATACGTGTTGAAGGTGTACGACTCGGTGGTGGTTTGGTAGGGATACAAGAGCCTGCTGAGCCGCTGTCATTTCTTCCCCTCTCTTTCTTGTTGCTGGGCGTGTAACGATTGGTCACTGACTCTGATACAGAGGATGGCATTGCTGTATCGCTTGTTGGCTTCGAGGAAGATAGTACTATTGGAAATCTTTACGACAATAACTAATATTGGAGATGGCTGCAGTGGCCAGGGGGCAGACTTCACTCGATATGTGGGGTTTCAAAGGGTACTCATTGTGCGGATATATGTCGTAAACGTACCGCTCTTCACTATCTCTCCAGACGCCTTATGCCGTCACTAGTCTACCAGGCCTTGCGCAGGTACGCAAAACCGGTTCCTAGCGCATGCCCACATCGCGCTGCAGGGCTTTGGTCTCACTGATAACGGCCTCTAGCCGGGTTCTGGACTACGCCATTGCTTGTTTGCGATAGGATTTGCAGACGTCGATGTGTGGTGGATGGTGGTTGGCAGGTGTCGTGGGCTTGGTGGAGAAAGAGGGCTGTCAGGGTCTGACATTACGTCATTCCTCAGTTCTTCCCTTTGCAACGCACATCGTGGCCCATGTATGTACTATTGCGCCATCAACTTTTCTCCATCAGGCTGAGGGTACGGGTGTGTGGGCGCAACATGTCGCAGATACCTCGAGGGTATGAAACTCGGTTACTTCGATCCCTTGGTTGCAATCCCGTCCCTCTACTTACAGCCAATGCGTCCTTGGCTCTTGTATCACACCGTCTGTACCATCATTGGGGACGGTTCGTAGAGCTGGAATTGGGGGAGCAAAGAGAGCTTCTCAAAACATCGGTCTCCAGTTGGTATTTCTGCCGTACCAGGGCGTATATCTAAAATAACAAAGCCACAGCGTGTTTATCATCTGGCCCGAGCACGTAGTCAACATAACTCCACCATTGCACTCATTTCGCGGGCACCTCTTCTATACAAATACGACTGCATCTACATGTAGCGTCTCGAGACGAAAGGGTTCATACGTAAGAGTATTTTGCCTCTGCAGAAACAGAGTTGCACAGCATTCAGCCACAAGGGTAGCGCTGAGCGGGATTGGCCTCCTCCCGCTTAGACGACATGCGCTCCACAGCAGAGGGCCTAACATGTAGAAAAGTCCAGCGGTAAACTTCTTCCACGGATAGATGAGGCGGCATTATGTCGCACTCCTTCGTTCCATCCACCCTCTAGAACCAATCCCTGCATTCCTCATATAGCCTCCCAAGACCCTATTGGACGGATAACCCCTGCGTCTGCATACAACATAGGTAGAACTAGGCTATGACTGGCGCATTATTTCCGATCAATATGGTTTGCGTGAGATGAGGCCTACGCTGCCATTGCATGAGCCAGGCACAGGCGCCCAGCAGGCGGCGGGCCATTTCGGTACGGGCTGGCACAATCTGGTAGTACCCTACGGTCGGGTTGTTTTCATATGCAATGGACACAATGAAAAGAAAGGTGGAGTGCCCGAACATGCGGTTGTGTCTTCATCACGAGCTTTTTTTGCTTTTCGTTGAGTCCTGGAATCCAAGACTGCAGCTTGTCATAATGGCAGGTGGAGTTGCTTCAGAAGCTGTTATTGTGAGTGTCCGACTATGGCAATGCCAAAGCGGTGGTACGGCATCATCTTTTCTAACACTCATGTGCAAAGCCTATTGAGGCCATGTTGTTAGGTCTCTCTACATTCGTAGCTTCTGGACGTCTTATTCCACGACTCGTACAGCGGCAGCATCTTACCTTGAGCGATTGCTTCCTGGTCGCATCAATACTCGACGCCATCGGGCTCTTCGCAACCGATGTTCTGACGTACGAATGGGGTGGTATGGCGGAAGACGAAGTGGAAATGTCAGATGCTCGCGCCATTGCCCTAAAAAAAGTTAGAGAGTCTACTTTGGCAGTCCATGGGGTACTGATGAACTGACAGCCTTTCCAACAGGTACAATTTGCTGGCAATGCCTTCTACGATACCGGAATCTACTGGCCAAAATTAGCCATCCTCGCGCTATATTTTCGTCTGATCCCACCGACAATGCCATGGTTGCGAAAAGCGCTCTATGCAGTGGCAGTATTCACGGGAAGCGCCATGGTCACAACATTCTTTCTAGACACCTTCTGGTGTGGGTCTGAAGTGTCAGTGAACTGGTCTCTTGAAGAAGGCGCGTGTAATACCTTCACTTCAAAAGCAGTCTTCAGGATCGATTGGAGCATGAACGTCGTGTCCGACGTGTTGAGTACGCCCTCAGAATATTCATTATATTCTCAGCCAATATCTGACCACAGGACAGTTTTCGGATTGCCCTTCCCACTTCTTCACTCATTGCAACTCCAAAGACGTCAGATATGGGGTCTTGTCGTCACATTTTGCCTCGGAGCAGTCACCATATCAATGAGTGTTGTTCGGTTTGTGACAATAGAGGTCATTTATGCCTGGACCAATGTTTGTATGCCGTCATTTTCTCGACGCAGCAAAGCCGCAAAGAGGTCACCAGCACTAACACATTGACAGTCGTGCTTTCAATGGCTGAGCTGGCCATCGCCATTATTGTAGTATCGCTACCGTCCATGAGATCATTCCTTCGGCGCGGTGGCTTCTTCTCCTTCCACAAAAAATCACGCACATCGGATTCCCGCACGACCTATGGCCAGCGCACACCTGCCAATGGCTCGCAGGGTTTTATGCGTCCTTCCAGAAGAGGAAAACACACGGTCCGCATACACAGCGATGAGGAGTCTGGAAGCGAGGTAGAGCTGAATAGTTTTGGAAGGAAGGATGTCATTTACGAGACGCGGCGGGTCAGTGTGCAGTTTTCGCGGTCGCAGGATGAAGACAGCGAACCTGTTGGAAAACTGCCATGAGAATTATTCCGCAGCTGGCCGCCCGACAGGATTTTCAGCCAGTACGGGGGCCGACCGAGGTGGTATGAGACTGAAGGATCGAGACAGGGTCCATCAATGTAGGTGTAGTAGTACAGCACAGCAAGCTCAGTAGATTTTCCTTATTAATAATTACTGGCCATGAAAATTCAGGATTCGGGCTTGGTGAGCGCGCAGCCATTGACATGCTCTGGCTATGATGGCGCTCTTCAACCATGTTCACATGGGGGTCCGCGTTGGCGGCCGAGCGCCCGCGCCTGACGGGAAGCTGCTCCAAGCGAGCGCTGAACGCCGCTTGCTCCACCTTTCCAGACGTCTTCAATCACCTTGGCTTTGAACCGTGCCGCAAGCATGCTGTGGGGTGGATCAACATTGGCAGAATGCTTCGCCTATATTGCACTTTGTCTGGCAAATTAACCCACCGGTTCCATGCCACATCACAATCGAGAACACATGTTCAACCCCTACACGTAGTAAACAACGGCTGAACGGCTGCCAACTAATGCTGATGTATATCTGTACATCCGTACCCTATGATCCACACAACAACTTGTACAATCCAAGACAATGTCTGGGAAAGTACCGTGGATGAAAAGCGGTCCATAGGGCCCCAGGTTATTCCCGCCTTCATTTTGGTCAGAAGTAAAAACCCAGGCCAACGGTTCAGCCGACGAGCCAGACATGGGCTGTTGTTGGGACCGGCCCATTCCTTCGCGGCTTCAAAATCGCCTCCCATTCCCAGAGCCTCCTTCCGCGCGCATGCATATAATGGACGTGTCCATCGTTCCTTCAACGCTATTGAGGACTAATATCCGGCCGGCAACCTCTCGTGATAGGTGGTGTAGTCGCTACCCCCACCAACATACGACCCAAGGTCTTGTCGTTGAGAGACGTGCGCTGGTGCAATCTATCTCCCCCCCCTTTGCAAATATTGATAATGTTTTGTGCCTTATATACAAATGCCATGTATAAGATTCCATTTGTTCACAACTTCTGAAGCGAGCGAACCGCCTTTCTCTCCTTCATTGGGGGCTTTTGACCTTTTCAGCTTCGTGACGCGATATTCGTCACACTACCGCCGCGAGTAACAATGGCCAAACGCATTACCGGGCAAGATTGCATGGTACATTTCTCATCTCAAAGTCACAATACTACATACATGTTCTGCATAGGCTAACAGATGAAATCGTGTTAGATCTCAGAATGGATCCTGTTGATTTTCGCTTACATTTTCGTTGTTTTACGCATTTAC